GGACCAGCTGCATCACCGTCTGGTATGGCAGCACTACTGCTATGGACCTCAAGCGCATGCAGACAGTGGTAAAGACTGCGGAGAAGATCGCCAGGATTCCACTGCCCGCTCTGCAGAGCATTTGTCACTGCAGGGTGAATAGGAAAGCTGCCTCCATCCTCAAAGATCCCACCCACCCCCAGCACGGACTGTTTGCCTCCCTACCCTCTGGCCGGAGGTTCAGAAGTGTGAAATTCCATCACTTTTTTTACACACCACATCCTCATTCTGTGCTGCTTTAATTTCTTCCAGACTTTTTTCTGTGGTTGGGAGACACCTCACCACACAGTCTACAAAGGCCTCCACCTCTTGCTCACGATGGAGATCTCCTACGGAGGACAGGTCCTGCACTGGAGCTCTGGACAGTGCATCCGCTGTGACGAGACTCTTCCCTGGAACGTGGACAATGTCGTATGAGAAACGTAGCAATCTCAGGCGAAAACTTAGGATCCTTGGCGGAAGGTCATCCAAGCCTCTTGTCCTCAGTAGAGGAACCAGGGGTTTATGGTCTGTCATCATTGTGAAGTGCAGGCCCATAAGATATGATGTGAGTCTTTCACATGCCCATGTTACTGCTAACCCTCTTTTTCGTTTTGCGCATAGCATTTTTTCGTGTCTGTTAGACCTCTAGAGATATATGTCACTGGTCGCCATAACCCATCTCTCTGTTTCTGTGTAAGTACCGCTCCGATACCATATGGTGAGGCATCCGCTGCAACTTTGGTGTCTGCTATGTTAGAGTATTGAGCCAGCACTTCTGCAGAGCTTAGTATCTCTTTTAGTCTCTTAAACGCTGTGTTTTGTGGTTCCTCCCATGTCCATTCATTTCTCTCTTTTAGGAGCTCCTTCAATGGCATGGTAATTGTGGCCAACTGAGGCCTGAACTTTGCGAGATAGTTGGCCATGCCCAATAGTCGCCTCACATCTTTACTGCACATTGGTTGTGGTAACTGCTGAATAGCCTTTACTTTGTTTGGGTCAGGCTCAATGCCTTTTGCTGAAACTTTGTGTCCCACGAACAGAATTTCCAACCTTGCAAACTCACATTTCTCGTTCAACACAAGACCTTCCTTTTGGAACCTCTGGAGCACCTGGTGTAATCTTTGACGGTCTCTGCCATACACCAAGACATCATCTGCGTGACAAACCACTCCCTCCAAATCCTCCAGCATTTGAGACATTCTCCTCTGAAAATGCTCTGACGCCGATGCTATGCCAGAGGGGAGTCTGTTGAATTGAAACCTCCCAAAAGGGATAATAAAGGTTGTGAGTGGACGCGATTCAGGTGTGAGAGGGATTTGCCAAAATCCAGAACGAGCATCGTGTTTTGTGAACACTTTAGCATTTTTCATCATAGCTAGTGTTTGGTCCACTCCTGGAAGAATATGGCGTTCTCTTTTCACTGCTGCATTCAGAGGTGTGAGGTCTACGCATGTTCTAGGGGGCTTGTTACTGGGTTTTGGGATGACAACTATACCTGAACACCATTCTGTAGGTTTAGTGACTTTAGAAATGACTCCCATCCCTTCCATTCTGTTCAACTCTGCTCGCACTGCTTCTCTGAGGGGGAGGGGAACCCTACGGGGGGCGGAAAGGGCAACAGGTGTTGCTCCCTGTTATAGTTCAATGTGATAGGGCTCTTTTAGCTTACCCAACCCTTGAAAAGCCTCAGGATATGCTGCTCTGTAATCTATCTCAGCTCCTATGACTGTGTCTACTCTGTACACTAGTCCCAATTCTTCACAGGCTGGTCTGTTTAGCAGAGGCTGTGTTAGCCCTGACACCAGGTAGATAATCTGTGATGTATTGCGTCCTTTTGCTACCAGATGCACCTTAAAACAGCCTATCACATTAAGTGGATAACTGCCCGGTCCCAACAATGTTTTTTTTTTGTTTCTGCAGCCTAACGTCTCGTTTTGATTTATATAGCTCTTCTGGGATGGACATAATGCCCACCCCCGTATCAAGCTTAAAATCAACCTTTTTCCCATTTAGCGCAACTCTTTCTACCCATGGTTCTGACTTCTCCGTTCCTATTTCCCCTAGAAACACAAACTCCTCGTTGTCCTTATCCTCCTGGTTTTTTATAACCTCTCTTATGGCTAGAGCTTCGCCTGTCCGGCAAACTACCGCAAAATGCCCTTTTTTTTTTTTACACTTTCTACATAGTACGTCTTTGGCTGGGCAGTCTTTCCACGAGTGTCTCTTCTTTCTCCCACAGTGACCACATCCTTGGTCACTGTACATCTCTGTCTTTTGTTCTTCCTTTGTCTGATGCCGTGTCTGTGTTTTTCCTTTTTTCTTGTTTGACATCATGGTGTCTATATCTGATGTTCCACTCTCTGCTGCACTGCTGTTTAGTATTGTTTGTTGCTTCTTCACTGTTTCACTCTGTCTTACTTTTTGTATGGCTTTTGTGAGCTTTAACTCTGCGTCCAGCTGTAGTTGTTCTGACAGTTTTTTGTCTTTTATTTCAACCATGATTCTGTCTCTTGTGAGTTCGTCCTTGAGCACTCCAAACCCACAACTTTCTGCAAGTTTGTGCACTGCTGTGACGAATGCGCCTGCGCTCTCACCTTCATGTTGTCGTCTGGAATTGAACTGCGCTCTTTAAAAATATTATATTGTGTTTTCCCACAAAATGCTGGTCAAGAGTCACCTTGACAGCTCCGTATTTCTTTTTATCTGCAGCAGTCATCAGCAGAACAGCCAAAACATCGTCAGCGGCATCTCCCATGGCATACAAAAGGGAATTCACCTAATATTCCTGCGGTTTTTCCTCTAGAGCTGTAGCAATACGAAACCTTTCAAATCGTTTGATCCATCTTGGCCACTCTGCAGGACATGAAAAGTTGAATGGCTCCGGTGAAGATATTTGTACCATCGTCGCCATTGCTGTAGCCAAATCCCCTGATGCTTCACCTTCAGGATCCAAATTTCCAGCTTCGTCGTCACTTTGCACTTCTCTAGCCGACATGTGCCAAGCAGGCCGTATGCTATCCAGCTCTCTTTTTGCCGGGCGAACCGCCATCGTCTATCTCTGCTGTGTGAACCTTCTTCCGTGTGATATGTACACCCAGCGGTACCTGGGAACACTATGGAGATTCGCTGTTCGCCACTTCTGACACCATGTACATATAATGATGACACAGGACTGTTTTCTACTTCTCAGTGCCACCTTCTTTATTTTTTTTTCCTTCACCCGCCCCCTGAGATACCTCTCCAGACACCAAGCATTATGGGAACAGTAGTCCAACCACTACAACAGTGGTGGGAGTTGTACTTGAAGTTCGATGTGTAGAGGGTGAAAAGAAAGGGGGAAAGCATTGTCCCCTGGGGTGCCCAAATGCTGTAGACCACCACGCCCGACACACAGTCTGACAAACTGAGGTCTGTTTGTGAAGTAGTTAATGGTCCATGGGGACAGGTGTTGGTCCACACCTGCCCCCTCCAACTTCCCCCTCAGCAGTGACGGCTGGATTGTGTTGAAAGCACTGGAGAAGTCAAAGAACATGACCCTCACCATGCTTTCGAGCACCGAGCTCACCTGGGCACGGAAGTGGCCGAGGACAACCCTCTCCATGGTCTTCATAAGGTGGGAGATCAGGGCAACGGGTCTGTAATGGTTTGGCTCATTAGGATGAGGTATTTTGGGAACCGGGACAACACAGGATGTCTTCCATAGGGCTGGTACTCTCTCCAGGCTAAGACTCAGGTTAAACATGTACAGGACCACCTCACTGAGCTGGTCTGCACACTTCGTGAGGACCCTGGGGCTGATGTGGTCAGGGCCTATGGCCTTCCTGGCCTTAATCCTCCTTAACTCCTTCCTGACCTGGTCTGCATTAAGGCGGAGGGACCTGGTGGGCGGTGACTGCTCAGGAGCTGTGGGATGTTGAGAAACCCCTGTGACAGTGGGACGAGGGGCAAGGTCTAGCTGAGGTGTGAGCAGCTGTGGCTGCAGGGAGAGAACTGACCTGGAGAAGTAAGTCGGGGGGCTGGCAGGGTGAGGGCTGAGGACTGGGTAGAGTCAAATCTATTAAAACACAGATTCAGTTCATTTGCCCAGGCCTTGTCCCTCACGACCTGGTGACCAGCTCTACTTCTACCATGACCAGAGATGTGAGACGTTGCTATTCTCCATGCTCTGCTCCAGCTTCTTCCTGTAGCTAGCCTTGCACCTCCGGATCATGTACTTTAGTTCCCATTGCACCCTGCTCGCCCCCTAAAGCACATCAGAGGGACAGCTCAGGTCAGCTGTTTTGGGGACAAGGTCAGAGAGGCCAGATTGAGATGGTTTGGACATGTGCAAAAGAGGATAGTGGTTATGTTGGTAGAAGGATGTTGGAGATGGAGCTGCCAGGCAAGAGGTCAAGAGGAAGGCCAAAGAGGAGATATATGGATGTGCTAAAAGAGGACATGAAGTTAATTGGGGTGAGAGTAGAGGATGCTGAGGATAGAGTTAAGTGGAAACAGATGATTCGCTGTGGCGACCCCTAACGGGAACAGCCGAAAGAAGAACAAGAAGAGCCACTAATTGCAGCTTATAAACCACTCATCAGAAATTGGTACAAAAAAAATGAGATTACTCCCCTCTTCTCAAAATGTAACATAAATGTCTACCACATATCAATACGGTGAAATAGTGTACTGCTTGTAAAATATCAGCAATAGAGATTATGAGAAATTAGTGCAGCCATTAAAATATAGAACGTTATAATAAATATGCAACTCAAAGTAAACATTAGGTAAATATGCCAGCACCAAAGTGTTTTATTATGAAAATCATCACAAAAATATATACATCATGCTGCAGGTCAGTTGATCAGCCAGAACAGTAGGTGGTGCCGGTTACGATTAAACTAAGGAAGGACCAACCACGAACGAACAAAACAGAAGAAGAACCACGGTCGAACTGTGCAAATTATCCTACTGACTGAGCAAGGAAGTAAACGCTGGGCAGGATGGCGATGAAGTGGCTGCGTTTTTCCTTCCTCGTCCTGGGGGTTTTGTCATTGTGCTGTGCCACATCTGGTGATAGCAACAGCATAAAGAAAATGAAGATGCAGTTTGCTACGGGACCACTTCTCAAATTTCAAATTTGGTAAGCAAGTGAGCGAAAATCTGGCGAGTCATGGCACGCTAGCTAGATAAACTCACCGGCTAACATCACCGTAGGCCGAAAACAAGCTAGCTAACAGGAGGTTGGTTTACATTCATGTGTTATATGGGATTGTGCGTTTAGGCCAGTTTTTACTCAGACACTGTTAAAAAACACGAGGTGGTTCTGGTTTAGGCAGTTCTCATGTCGAAAACATGCCCCCGCTTCCGCTGTCAAACCCGCGAGTCCAGTTGCAGTTGTAAACACATCGCTGGTTAACGTTAAGTTACATCATGTGTATTTGGATTGTAGAGGCAATGGGATTATTTCAGATCCCTGTGAAGTGTTCCTGTCTGTCTGGCATTACTGCATACAACTAAACATTGTTTTTGGTTTTCTAGTTAGTTCTGGAAAGTTAAAGATAATCGAAGTCACCTTAGTTACATCTAATTAATCGTCTTAACGCAAGTTTATCCGTACATGGTAGAAGCTGCACCTTTAGCTACTATAGGGACAAATGTAGCTTGGTTAACTAAAACTATTTAGAAAAAGTAGCTCAGAAATGTTCAAATTAACAATGCACACGTCATGCAGAATATAATACAAAACAGTCGTGTCAGCAAAAATGTCACTAGGTGAGTTTATTGTTGTTAACAAATCTGGGTTTTGTATTATCTGACTACAACTAAAACTGTAAATAAATTCACCTTTGCACCGATCTAAAAACAGGCCTGTCGTCTTATTTGTCTGGTTTGTAACATCTGATTTCTACAATCTTAACACCTCCTGTAAAACACTCTTCAATTTGCACCTTTTTAGATAATGCAGACACCTTGAACACTGCTCTACATAATGCTTTTTACTGCAACTGTCAGAACAGAATCCCACGTACACAACACGTGAGCAGTCTCCAACTGGCAGTCACCCTTGGCCCTGAAAATGCTGAAAAGCTACTCCCATGCAGCACGGTGAAATAAAAAAATCACTCCTTTTTGGCCCAAAACAGTTTGTGGTTTCATTATTTACCTAAACAAAAATTGGCAAAAAAGTAATTGAACTACTTGAATCATCATACAAATATGAACATAGCAAACTGATGCTAACTGTAGTTAAACTACTAGTTTAATTTCATGTTGTTTACTGCTCCCCAACACAAATACAGATATACAAAATGATTCACAGTAATACTTGTTTATCAGGGAGTTGTAGTAATATCGGTCACATGATATTTTTTTTTTAAAGGGTTTGTGCAAAGAAATGTGACTAGAGTAAACAAGAATAAGAAATAAATATTTTCATTGCAAATAGGTGCTTATGTGTACAGCAAACAGGGCAATGAAGCATTGATGTGCATAGTGTTAAATATGAGTAGCACTAACTTTAATTTGACATTGCTATTGCAATGTTACTCAATCAATAGGGACAATCCAAACAAATGGTCTGCAGAATATGTTCACATCTCAAGGCCACAGTCTAGCTTTTAGATCATCATGTTGTTGTGACTGTGTTTTGTTCCTGTTTGGTCTTGCTGCTGTGCACTGTGCGGATGCCTTTTTAACTGTGTTTATCTGCACACAGCATCTCCTGAGGGTACAAGCGGGTGTTTGAGGAGTACACGCAGGCCTTGTACCAGCGGTACCCAGACATCCGCATTGAAGGGGAGAACTATCTCCCTATGCCCATCTATCGGTAAGGCACAGATCATCTCCCATGTTACAGATGAATTAGGAATGTACATTAATTATTCAATTAGTCAAAAAGGTCAATATCATTGAATATTGAAGAAATCTTTTTTTTTTACTGTTGTAGCGAAGTGGAACTAATGTTGACTGAGGAAATGTAATGTTTGTGCAGTGTGGGGTTTCTTATGGTGGATTTGTCATTGGTGGTTTTATAGGTTTACATGAAAGTACTTGAAAATTGACATATATTTGGAACACAGGTCTCGATATTTCATTTGATTTGATTTGATTTATTCATTCAAGCATGTAAAACAGTTGATATGTCAACACATGTAATTTCACACATATCTAACAATAATAATCCAATATCAATTTACTTATACCTAGTACATGCTTGAACGGAGTAGGAAGAAGTTAGACTTATCTAGTCCTACCCCATGACATCATCTTACAACTTTTAAGTCCTAAGCAATATCTCTACATAAATAATTATCCTCTACACCACACAAGTAATATACTACAGAATTATTACAGGGTGTTAACATTCTACATAATTACATTCATAGATAATTATCTTCTACGCCACACAAGTAATATACTAAAGAATTATTACAGAGTATTAACATTCATACACCACACCCACAATGTTCCATCTGATTAATCATTAAACCTGTTCTTGCATGTATCTTGATTGACACATACCTTTATATTTATGTTTAAACTCATCAATTCTATT